CTCATACACACACACACACACACACACACACACACACACACACACACACACACACACGTTGATTGCCAGCACCCACCTGGTGGCTCCAAACTGACTGTAACTCCAGTTCCAGAGGACCCAAACACCCTCTGGCCTCCATGGGCAACACACACACACACACACACACACACACACACACACACACACACACGGTATATACACACATGCACACACGCAGGCAAAACATTAATACACATAAATCAATCTGATTATTTTAAAGAGGCCTCCTTGCCCCAAGAATGACATTTCTAAAACTCTCTGAAACTTCTGCTGACAGGAAAATGAAAAAGACAAAAAGGGGTTCACTGGCCGTGAGGAAAGGACAAAGGACAGGGTAATTGCTGAGGCAACTGACGGGCAGGACACAGGACATCTGTCATGCCCTGAAGGTCTGTATTAGCGGTATTACATTACTTTCACATCAGCAGATCAGCTCATTTATTAGCTAATCAGGCGGAACTCAGTATTTGAAATTATCTTTCAATCCTGCATGCGATCAGTTGAAAACCCAGGGCTCTAAAAATCTAATTGTAATTGCTTACCAGAAATGTCATCTTCGTGTTGAAGAACTGAACCGGGGCCAAGCGGGAGGCTATTTTTTTCCGTGATTCCCAGTGCACTGCCCCAGAGCAGGACTGGCTTTATACATCCAGGTGCCCGGTGCCCCATACTTTAGCAGCTCCTGGAGGGGGTCTAGGACCAGTCCTCTCTCAGAGATGGCCCAAGACTAAAAGTGTGGTGGAGAAGAGCGGCATAGGATGGAGGAGCAGTCAGTCATCTCGGTCATAGCAAAAAGTCAAGAGAGAAACATCAAATTTTGGTTTGGAGTGTCCTGTGGGCCTGGGCAGGAGCTCATCCCTCCAGCAGGGTGGGATGGCAGAGGTAGATCATAGTCATGGATGATTGGCATCTTTCCCTCCTAGCACTCTACTTATCATCACCCCCGCCCTTCAGGAGTGTGGCATAAGGCAATGAACCTGTGGTCTGCTCCTGGCTTCTTTTCCTTGGCAACTGAACTGGCATCACAGGGCAGACATGCGAGGGCTATACTGTGGGTCTTCTAAGTGCCTCCCACAGAGTGGAGCGGTTTCCTGAGGACTCTTGAAACTGTGAAGAGATTCAAACTACAGAGCCCAAAAAGCTGGAGCCATGCCATGCCCACCATCTTCATTGGCCACTGCTGCAGATGGAGGTGAGCAGGAGAATGGAAAAGCAGCTGTGTGGGTCACAGATGTGACATCTGCCTGCCCTTTGTAGAAAAATGAGTGCACGCTATAGGCTGTGCTCTGTATAAATATACTGCTAACGGTGTGAAGGGAAGATTGTCGTGTGTGTGTGTGTGTGTGTGTGTGTGTGTGTGTGTGTGTGTGTGTGTGAGAGAGAGAGAGAGAGAGAGAGAGAGAGAGAGAGAGAGACAGAGACAGAGAGAGAGAGAGACAGAGAGAGACAGAGAGAGAGAGAGAGAGAGAGAGACCTGCTCCCACTTTTACCCCAGGCTACCCTTGAGGAGGGAGAAGTGAGAAATATTTAGATAGAAGGATAGAGGGGAAAGAGACAGAAACACAGAGTAGCTCAGGAGGGCCTGGATCCTCATCCACTCGCCCCTTCTGTCTCTTCTAAAGGGCTTTTTAAAGGAATGCCAAGGGGTGGGGCAAAAGACCTCCCCTTGCTAGATCAAAGCACACCGCACATCCAAGTGCAGACCCTTCCAAACACCTGGTGACCATGCACGTGGTCAAGCCATCCTCTAATGCAGCCCTGCTGGGAAAAGCAAGCTCAGATCTCACTAGAAAACCTTTGCGGGCCTCCACATTTTTTTTTTTTTTTTGAATTGGGGTCTCCCTATATAGCTCCGGCTGTCCTGGAACTTGCTATGTAGACCAGGCTGGCCTCAAATTCACAGTTATCTGCCTGACTCTTCCTACCAAGTCCTGGGATTAAAGATGTTACACCACTCACTATACTTGGCTTTTTTTTTTTTTTTTTTTTTTTTTTTTAAGGCAAGATTTCCTATGTAGCTCAGCCTGGCCTCAAACTTGCAACCCTCTTGCATTGGCTTCCCGAGTACTTAGCTCAGAGGACTGTGCCACCATGCCCAGAAGAGGAAGTAGTCCTTGACAGCATCTCTTTCATTTCCTTTTTTCCTAGTGCTGTTCCTTCAGAAATATAAGGGAGGGACTTAGTCCAGTGATAGAGAATAGCAAGTATGAGACCTTGGGTTCAGTCATAACAACAAAATAATAACAACACAGAAAGCCTTTTTGGTTGTTTTGTTGTTATTTTGTTGTTATTGTTGGTTTTCCATACAGGGTTTCTCTGTGTAGCTCTGACTGTCCTGGAACTCACTATGTAGACCAGGCTGGCCTCGAACTCAGAGATCTGCCTGCTTCTGCCTCCTGAGTGCTGGAATTAAAGGTATGCACCACCAGCTCCCATAGCTTTTTTTTTAAAGAATATAAAATTGCCTGGCAGTGGTGGCACACACCTTTAATCCCAGCACTCAGGAGGCAGAGGCAGGCAGATCTCTGTGAGTTCGAGGCCAGCCTGGTCTACAGAGTGAGTTCCAGGATGGCCAGGGCTGTTACACAGAGAAACCGTGTCTTGAAAAAAAAACCAAACCAAACCAGAATTCTATACTCTAAGCCACTGAGGGAAAGCACTGAGGTCTGGAGACAGAAGGGACAGAAAGAATCCTTAGGAAGTGGAGGAGTTACGTGCATCTTCTCTGAGAGTCTCCAAAAACTAAAACCCTAAAGGTTTATATCCTTTATTTACAACCAAACAAAACACAGTTGGGGCAAAGCCCCTCAGTTCCATGGTCTAGCTAACCCCCCCATCCCCCCCCACCCCCCGTGACTGTCCTGTTTCGATGGCAAACCCTTTTCTTCTACGGAGTCTGCTCTTTAACTAATCATTTCAATCAGTTCTGACTGTGATTTGCATCAAATACATATATTTATCACTTTAGCACACCTTCCCTCTCTCTCTTCCTTCCTAAAGTTAGGAAATAATTTCAATAACACTGGAAGATACTTAAAAAATAAATAGTATAGGCCAGCCATGGTAACATATGCCTTTAATCCCAGCAGCTGAGAGGCAGAGGCAGGAGGATCTCTTTGAGTTCAAGTCCACCCTGTTCTACATAGAAAATTCCAGGACAGTCAAGACTACATAGAGAGACACAAAATAAATAAATAAACAAACAACATGTAGCCTCATTAATTCTAAACATTCTGCTATTTTAGCTTCAAGTAGTTTTTTTTTTAATATTTGAGAATTTCATACAGAGTACTGTATTTATATCATTTCCACCCCACAGTCTCTTCCCTCCAACTCTCTCTTCCCCACTCCCTCTTAACTCTACTGGTCATCCTAGGTCTCTCCTTAGCTGAGTATTGATTCTCTTAACTTACAAAGTTTTGAACCACACAGCTAATGTAAATGTTAATGTCCAAACTGAGCAAAGGACAGGCTCCAGGTACCAAAGTCTCAGTAGAGACAGGATTTCTTGCTACTCCCTAAACTTGTGACTAATTTTCCCTGGTTCTTTCCTGAAGGAGTCTTTAGTTTCAGCATCCCACTTTGCCTGAAACTCACTTCTATCCAAACAAAAGCATTTCAACTGCAGCTCCCAAGAGTACTACAGTCAATCAGGGAAACGCTGATCAAAACTACATAGACTTAGGTATGGTGTCGTAGACCTGTGATCCCAGCACTTGGGGGGCAGAAGCAGGAGGATTAGGAGTTCATGGTTATCCTCAGCTGCAGATTGAGTTCAAGGCCAGCCTGAGCTATATAAAACCCTGCCCCTGCCCCCCACCCCAAAACCAAACCTGTATCGAAATCCCATCCGCCCCCATCAGAACGGCTGTCATTAAGAAATAAACAACGGGCGCTAAGGTTATCATCGCTCAATCTATAAAGTGATCCCCCAGGCCATGTTTTAAAAGACAAGTGTGCGTTTGCATTCCTAGTTCTAGGAAGGCAGAAACAGGCAGTTCCTTGGGGCTCACGGGCCAGCCTGGACTACCTCTTACATGGCAGAGGACAACAAGATGGTCCTTTTGTGGGAAAAACAAACATCATTCTGTTGGTCTCAGTGGTTTTCAAGATGTTTTTGGCTCCTTATTCACCGAAGCCAGTTTCCCCAGAGAGTAGTAGTAGAAGTGTAACCCACCAAAAAAATCTAAATCTCAAGTGACTTCCATGTCCTTTAAGGGCATTCGTACCTGCCTTCTGGTGGGTGATCTGTTCCGCAGACAAATGCTGAGAGCAGAAACCTACCCTTCATTTAAATACCAGCTGGCATTTAGTAATAAATACAATAATTAATATAATAAATATTAACTATCCTCCACATAAATACCTCACAGCACAATGCTAGTTTACTATAAATAATAAGTAATAACTATCCTCCACATAAATACCTCACAGCACAATGCTAGTTCACATAGCTTGCCTGTCACACATGCTTTAGACACCAGCTCACTCCTGACTGAAACAGCCTCCACATAACTATTCCTCCCTCCTGACAGGGACTGCTGAGGCAGTGCATGATGGGTTTGGGTTGTGCAGACAGAACCAGGTATTCCGGCCAAGGGCCAAGCACTTTGCAAGGAATCACTGGCACCAGCTCTCAGCATAGTCAGAGTCTCCAAACGATTTTGCTCAGTTCCTCCCTTCAACCTCACGGTGTGGACCTGGCTCCAGAGCCAGGAGTGAGGCCGTCACTGTGAGGAAGCAGAGGCATTATAAATAACCCAGAAACCCTCTCCTGACAGCAACTGCCTGCTGACTTTGTGGCCTAACAGCTCAAGCCCAGAAAGGCATGGCTGCAACATTGTGCAATGACCCATTACTCCGAGTTCCGTGTGCGGCAGAGTTGCAACCTGTGGTCGGTGCTCGGGCTGCTCAGATCCCTTTGCTGTGTGATAATCCCGCGGCTCTGTGCCCTTTCGCAGTTCCCAGACAACAATGCTCTTATTTCAAGGCCCGCTCACCAAGAGAAGAAAGCAGCTGGTGGAGATGAGCACTCGGCAGAGAATGTTTCAGTAAATCTTGTGGAGGATTCCAAGACATACTGGATTAACTGTTTTCTGTCAGGAATGCTGGAGTCACAAGGAAGAAAGATTGCTGACCACAGAAGGCAAGGCCAGTCTTTAGAACCCAATGAGTCACCAACGGACGCTTTGGTTTTAAGTGCCATTTATTCGCAGATATGTAAAGTTATTTCTATACAAAGCCTTCATTAACAGCACTGGAAGAATAGGGCCTTTCTCATCCCATTTTTTACTTGCACTCAGGATTCCTTTTCTCTTTTATCAATTATAGAATGAGTTAATCCACCACAGGCATTTTGGGCAGATGGGGGTCTTGGCCAGTTTTCAGTCTCCTTAAGCCATTTTTCTCCATGGCTTCCCAGACTGCAGAGCAGTGAAGGCCCTGAAGGAGTCAGTGGGTTCTGCTGAGCACAGCCCAGGCCGGCCCCACCCCAGAACCTGAGGAGGCTACAGCAATCCGTGGTCCATCCCCTTCATGGCTGACAGTGGACCTCACGTGTTCTGCAGTCCGGCCAGCCCTGGGCAAATGAGAGGTGTCCTGGTGACTGACACCAAGACATGGCCACTGGGCCCAGCCGATTCCGGCAAGTGTGGCAGAGCTGCTTTACTGAGGTCATAGTGATTCCTGACAGCGTTCATAACAATCAGTTGTAAGTAAAACATGAAGTGTTCTTATTTTGTTATCAAGGGACACGTAAAACAGCTCCCCCCACCCCCATTTCCACACTCAGCATAGAGCAGAGATTGAAACGAGAGAAAGGGCTTCAGGGATAGCTGAGCATGGCTAAAAGGATGGGGCTCGAGTTTGGACTGCAGATAGATGAGGTCCACAAAGGGGGTACAGCGAAGGAAAGGGGGTACAGTCACGGATGTCTGCTTTGTCCGTTAGTGGGTGGGCCTGCATTTTATATGTGATCCTTTGGTACACGTGTTGCTTTGGAGTACCCCATCAAAACGTTCCACCTCAGAACTGGTATGACTGGCCATAGAGAGGCCGTCACTGACTGCTGCGGCTGGGAGAGAATCCTGATCCACAGGCAGGCCCAGATGGAGCCAGCAAATGACCTCTGCCATCCCAGGAGCCATCTGTCACTAGACAGAGGTCAGCCTGAGCCCCACAGCCCTGCACATGTGGGAAACCTGAGACACGCCCCCCCCCCCCCCCCAGCACGTCCAGCAGGGGCTTCTTTAGGCTGTGACTCAACCTTACACAAGACCCCAGTAAGGCAGTTGTTCGGGCGGTCAGCTCTTCTCTTACAAATAAAGACACGGGACCAACAGTGAAGAATCCCGGGGCTCTAGCAGGGAGGCGGAAAGAGCTTTTTGCTTTGTATTAGTTGAAGTTTAATCGATGTGGTGAGAACAGAGAGACCAGTGTCGTCTTTACGGTCACCTGCAGCCTCTTTGGGCCATCAAATGCTGGCCCGAACGAACGCACCCCAGCCTCACCTCGCTGTGATTTTACACCTGACCTCCCATTGATCCTTCTCCGTTCTCATCCATCTAAAGGAAAGCACGCTTTAGCCCCGTACACCTCACTCCAGATAGAAATACATAATTCAAGAGGAATACGATGTCAACGAGGAGGCATGCCAATTTGTGTCAGCATTGGCTGTAAAACAGAGAGGAGTACAAGGAGAGTTTAATGTAATGTAGAATTGAAATTAAAATAGAGCCAATATTTAGGCATTCCTCCGCCTCCTTTCCCCTGCTGTGACACAAAGGATTGACTCTCTCAGTACTAATGTCATATGTTGTTTGGTTTTTTTCTCTCCTACTGGGATTTTTTTTCCTTCTTCTTCTCTGGGTGAAATGTTACATGTTTGTCTCTGGGATCTAAAATTTGACCTTTTCACCTGCTCCAATCCTATCACAAGAAGCAAAAATCAGGAAGACTTTTCCCTCCACCTCCCAATCTACACCCCTCGTGTGAGCGGCACAGAAAGGACCCCTGCCTGCTCAGCGTCACTCAGTAGCTCTCACCTCTTCTCTGACACCCATCCAACATGTCACCTCCATGCTTTCTTTTTCCAAAGCTGGAAAAAAAAAATCAAAGGTTGATAATGAATATCTCACAGCGTGAAGCTGGGCAAGGAGCTCCTGCTCCCGCAACTAACTCTTCAGTGCCCAGTGGGGAAACGTCACGATTTCCCTCAAACCAGCCAAGTGCAACAGCACTTCCGGCCTTCAGGGAGCAGAGACAGGAGGTTCACAGCAAGTTCAAGGCCAGCCTGGTCTACTATTGTGTTCCAGGGTACATGGGGAGACTCTGTCTCAAAAAAAGTCAGCACAAATAAAAAGACCTGTCTGGAGCCCTTTATTCCATTTCCTCCCATTGTTTTTGACCAAGTGGTAGAATTCCTAGTTTGATCCCAGACCTAAATGACTGACCAGCCTTGGTTTTCAAATGATTCACTCTTCCCAGAAGTCAAGTCCTTAGGCAGAGTGTTTCTCAGCCCACAGCATCAGTACCACCTGGGGACTTATGAGGACTGCAAACCCCAAGCCCCACCTTAGGTTTAATGGATCAGAAAGTCTGAGGGAGGAGCACAGCCCTCCCCATTTAACAAGCCCTCCAGGCTATTCTGAGGTCAGGATTGAACCCCAAGCTTAGAAGATGTACATTTGCTTCCACTGAAGACATTCAGAGGTATTTTAAAGTATTTATGAGCAAAGGCCAAAGCCTTTCCAGGTACTGAGCTCCAACCAAAGACATCCTAACTGCCACCTAACTGTCTTGAGCTGTTATGCTTGGTTTCTTGTCTGGAAAATGAAAGCCTGACTTCCTCACAGGACCGTAATGAGAGTATTTGAATCGCATCTGTAAACATACCCTGTAAATAGACAAGAAAGTGAAAGTCCTGCCTCTCTGCAGGCAGGATCCTAGGGTTGTGAGCATTGCCCTTGACAGGAGCGGAAAGGCCTGTGTTTATCATTTCCCTGACCCAGTTCACTTTTTTTGTCCAGCCTGTGACCTGCTAGGTGTGACTCAGGTTCTGTCATTTAGTCTCACAAGTTGATCTGCTGTGAAGGAAAACCATTTCCTGATTGCGGCTCACCCAAACCTAAGGGGCTATATACCCTTGCTCAGACATGCCATTTCTGCTGGCTTCCCCGGGATGCTCTGTGCTGGTCTCTGTGGGTGGACAGTGTGTGACTACCAGAGCTCTCGTGAGAAGTGCGCGCCACACCAGAAACCTCCATCTCAGACCTGTGCATCTCAGACCTATAAGAAGGAAGCTTAACATTTACCATGACGCCACCCCTTAAGCAGCACAGAAAATCAGAGAGAAAATCCCTCAAGCCAGCCGAATCTCCAGAAACCAAGATCGACAAACCAGACCAGGTAATGGTGAAAAGTGTAGGTGGGTTTTCACTTCCCAGATTAGCGGTCACGGGCAGTTAGTTTCACCACAACAAACTCCCGGTGCATCGCTAGTTGAAGTTGAAAACCTCACAGGCTTTTGGTGACAATCGGAGGACAGTAAACCTTCTCTGCAATGTTTGTGAGGAATGGTGTTTTCATAACTAGTTCCCACTGGATCAACAGCCGCCTCACTTGCACATGAAGTACACCGAAAGGAGTATGGTTAAATTGTGTCTAGCTAGGGAATAATAAGTTATCAGTTAACTATAGAATTAAAAGACGAAATTCTTTTACTGAAAAACGTGTATATATTTAGCAAGTCTGTAGAGACAGAAAGCAGAGCGGTCTGAGGACAGTAAATGAGGTGGTTTCTTTTCAGGGGATGAAACTTCGAAACTTAGACAGCGGTGATGGCTCGCTCAGCCCCATGACTACACTAAAGAATGCGGACTGTACTCTTAAAGCAGGTGTATTGTGGCTGTATGAACTCCAGAGCCAGGATTTGGGGAGAGGTGGTTTGTTTATTTGTTGTGTTTGTTTTTCTGTGGGAGGCAGTTGTAGTTCAGTGATAGAAACCCTGGGTTCCATCCCCAACACACACACACACACACACACACACACACACACACACACACACACACACACACGACTAGCAGAGTATATAAACCAAGGAACAAGTTTCAGTGCTTGAAGAATTTCAAGTGTTGATCGTTGATCGTTTGGACTATATTAGGTCATGAAATAGTTTAGTCTTTTAATCATAGAGTATTTTTAAGTGGACTATTTCAGCCTGATCATTAGCATGTATCATAACGTGGCAAAGACATGGACATCTGTGATGTAATAATTTGTCATGTCTCCTACAGATTACTTAGAGTGGCGATCAGCTCCATTTACACATAGAGATAAAATCTGGCTTCTGCCTGGCTGTCATGATGCTCATCAGTTGAAATGGTCTGGGAAGGCGGGAAGTTTGAGGTTGAGGAAGGATATGATCTCATCCTCCTGAGGTAAACATGAGCTGATAAGAGGAGAGGGACAGATTCCAGTGGGAGCCATGCGCTGAGCTCTTGCGTGAACAGCCTACCTCAGGGTCAGTCCACCGCAGAGCTCACCCTGTCACATCCGCACAGGCAGCGAACTTGGCACTCTTCTGCCCAGGGAAATAGCGCCAGCCATCCTGGTCCCCATCCGCTTCCCCAGTTCCTTACTCTGTGGCTTTGAGACTTCCCAGGGTTCACTGGTAACCATGTTAGAAATTCTGGCTCAATGGGAAGAAAGTGGGGGGGGTCTGCCAGTGGTTGCCCACCATGCCTTCCAGTGGAATGTTTGCCTGTTAGGGTCACCCACACACCAAAGACCCTGACTAGACCACTTGCTCTTCAGGACAAGAGGCCTTCCTTCAGCATTTCTCAGTCTTGTCTTCATCATCACCCTGCCCCAAAGACCTGGTAAAAAATTTTCCCTCTTCACCCTCCTTTTTTCCCCATGAAATATTAAAATGATAAATATACTTGTGTACATTTATATGCTGTAGCGTTTTAAAGAGATGACACCCATTGTAATAGCTATGGTTTTCACACATTCATGAGTTCTAGTCCCAGCCGGGAACACGTGCCCTGTATGAAAAACCCCTCAGTAGAGCTTTCTTGCTCTTCCTGGTAGTGAGTAGTGAGGTTGGTCACGTGGAGAAGGGGACCCAGCGGCCTGATGGTGTCTGCCCACCAGGATGAGCCTTGACCTCAGTTTCCAGGACTGCTAGAGGAATCTCATCCCAAGCTTGCTCAGCCACCTGCTGCCTTTTGGGCTCTGCTACCACCTCTCCCTGGCAGGGGTAGCATCTGCCCAGCCATGGAGAGCAGAGTGCTCCACCAAGCTCCCATGCAGTGGAGGTCCAGTGTGTCCCTGCCACAGGAAGCCCCCTTCCCGTGCTGACCTCCGGCCCCACCCTCCCAGCTCTGACTCTTCCGAGAGCCTCGCATTATTTAGCCTCTGCTCCTTGTCCCTATGTGAAAGCAGGAGACCAGCCTGGCTTCCCCAACTCTGCATTGACTGCAGGGACTTCCTGCTTTTTACTCTCTACCACTTTAATCTCATCGAGTGTGAAGGGTTCATCGAGTACCTCACCTCAAAGTTCAAAGGTCTCAGGAGATACTGATGGCCACTGCTAGAGCTCTCTAGATCCTGGCCTGCATAACACAGGGCTCTGGGATTCTGGCTTCTGCTCCTTCCCAGCCACACTTATTCTTTTCCTCTGAGCCGGGACTGAAAAGCCAACCCTCTTGCTGTAACACTCTATAGATCGTGTCCCTGTGATGGTGACCCGTTTGGTCCCTGGAACCTTGTCTGACCTCACTGACCTAGGTCATGAGTTTTCACTACAAAACCTTGCACAAACTAAATGGCCTCTGACACGATGCCATCTAGTCTGCCCCGCTCTGTTGAACACTCACTCTGTGCCGGGCTCTCCCGGACCCTCCGACATCGTCTGAATTAGTATCCACAACAATCCTATCATACGGGTCAATAGATGCAGAGAAGCTGAGCAACCCGCCAGAGGTCACATGACTAGTACATTAGTGAAGCAGGTACACATTAGTGAACATGTCTGGCCCCAGGCCATTTGCACATGGTTCCGCTTGAGAAAACATTGCCTCAGTTGTGTGAGTTTTAATTCAGATGACAGAGGGTCTTCAACACAAATGGGAAGGCAATCCGGTCACCATTCCTAAAAGATGACAGAGCTAACAAAAAGGGTTGACGCAAGATTAAAAGGTCCTTCTGTATGGTGTCTCTGAGGTTTAGGAGTCGCAGGCCCAATCAGCTACTCATGCCTCAGGTCCCGGACATGGGAAGGAGGCAGAAGCCCATGCGTAGACATCTAGGCCAGGGAGGGCAGGCCTGGCTGCCAGTCTAGCCTACAGGCAGTCATTCAGCAATTGGGGCAGCTCCCTAAAATGATCCCTGGGAGACAGTTCCATCCCAAACCAAGTACAGAGAGGAGGGCTGACCCAGAGGGCTCTAATCTGGGCCTCGGCACCATGTGATCGGCAGTAGGGACCCTGATGGTTTACATTTGCTCTCTCCTGAGCCCCTGGCCAGATGCTTGAAGGAGAAATGGTGCATCATCATGTTTCAGCCATTTGCTCCTTGCTGGCCTCCGAAACCACAAGCAGACTGAGGAATTCGGCCTGCAGTGCGAGCTCTGAATATTCTATGGAGGGAGAGGTTCTGAAAAGAAAAGAAAGTGGTGTGCTCTTGTCCGACGGAATGTGTGAAGGCATCAAGGAGGAATGTGGGGGCTCTGTTGGGGTGGCTCAGCAGT